TGTGGCATTCAAATCTCGACACCGATTTTTTAATCGAAATTCATGTCCAAATCTTACCCCAAGATTCGTATATAGACATGGATCAAAAATTACCACCCCCATAACTCGGTCAAATCTCATCCGATTTTCCCGAAGTTTGGCTTTTTCTTCATAGTTTTCCCTCTAGATTAATGTGGCATTCAAATCTCGACACCGATTTTTTAGTCGAAATTCATGTCCAAATCTTACCCCAAGATTCGTATAGACATGGATCAAAAATTACCACCCCCATAACTCGGTCAAATCTCATCCGATTTTCACGAAGTTTGGCTTTTTCTTCATAGTTTTCCCTCTAGATTAATCTGGCATTCAAATCTCGACACCGATTTTTTGGTCGATATGCTTATCCAAATCTTACCCCAAGATTCGTATATAGACATGGGTCAAAAATTACCACCCCCATAGCTCGGTCAAATCTCATCCGATTTTCACGAAGTTTGGCTTTTTCTTCATAGTTTTCCCTCTAGATTAATGTGGCATTCAAATCTCGACACCGATTTTTTAGTCGATATGCTTATCCAAATCTTACCCCAAGATTCGTATATAGACATGGGTCAAAAATTACCACCCCCATAGCTCGGTCAAATCTCATCCGATTTTCACTAAGTTTGGCTTTGTCTTCATAGTTTTCCCTCTAGATTAATGTGGCATTCAAATCTCGACACCGATTTTTTAATCGAAATTCATGTCCACATCTTACCCCAAGATGCGTATATAGACATGGGTCAAAAATTACCACCCCCATAACTCGGTCAAATCTCATCCGATTTTCACGAAGTTTGGCTTTTTCTTCATGGTTTTCCCTCTAGATTAATCTGGCATTCAAATCTCGACACCGATTTTTTGGTCGAAATTCATGTCCAAGTCTTACCCCAAGATGCGTATATAGACATGGGTCAAAAATTACCACCCCCATAACTCGGTCAAATCTCATCCGATTTTCACGAAGTTTGGCTTTTTCTTCATGGTTTTCCCTCTAGATTAATCTGGCATTCAAATCTCGACACCGATTTTTTGGTCGAAATTCATGTCCAAGTCTTACCCCAAGATTCGTATATAGACATGGGTCAAAAATTACCACCCCCATAACTCGGTCAAATCTCATCAGATTTTCACGAAGTTTGGCTTTTTCTTCATAGTTTTCCCTCTAGATTTATCTGGCATTCAAATCTCGACACCGATTTTTTGGTCGATATGCTTGTCCAAATCTTACCCCAAGATTCGTATATAGACATGGGTCAAAAATTACCACCCCCATAACTCGGTCAAATCTCATCCGATTTTCACGAAGTTTGGCTTTTTCTTCATGGTTTTCCCTCTAGATTAATCTGGCATTCAAATCTCGACACCGATTTTTTGGTCGAAATTCATGTCCAAGTCTTACCCCAAGATTCGTATATAGACATGGATCAAAAATTACCACCCCCATAACTCGGTCAAATCTCATCCGATTTTCCCGAAGTTTGGCTTTTTCTTCATAGCTTTCCCTCTAGATTAATATGGCATTCAAATCTCGACACCGATTTTTTGGTCGAAATTCATGTCCAAGTCTTACCCCAAGATTCGTATATAGACATGGATCAAAAATTACCACCCCCATAACTCGGTCAAATCTCATCCGATTTCCACGAAGTTTGGCCTTTTCTTCATGGTTTTCCCTCTAGATTAATCTGGCATTCAAATCTCGAAACCTATTTTTTGGTCGAAATTCATGTCCAAATCTTACCCCAAGATTCGTATATAGACATGGATCAAAAATTACCACCCCCATAACTCGGTCAAATCTCATCCGATTTTCACGAAGTTTGGCTTTTTCTTCATGGTTTTCCCCCTAGATTAATATGGCATTCAAATCTCGACACCGATTTTTTGGTCGAAATTCATGTCCAAATCTTACCCCAAGATTCGTATATAGACATGGGTCAAAAATTACCACCCCCATAGCTCGGTCAAATCTCATCCGATTTTCACGAAGTTTGGCTTTTTCTTCATAGTTTTCCCTCTAGATTAATGTGGCATTCAAATCTCGACACCGATTTTTTAGTCGATATGCTTATCCAAATCTTACCCCAAGATTCGTATATAGACATGGATCAAAAATTACCACCCCCATAACTCGGTCAAATCTCATCCGATTTCCACGAAGTTTGGCCTTTTCTTCATGGTTTTCCCTCTAGATTAATCTGGCATTCAAATCTCGACACCTATTTTTTGGTCGAAATTCATGTCGAAATTCATGTCCAAATCTTACCCCAAGATTCGTATATAGACATGGATCAAAAATTACCACCCCCATAACTCGGTCAAATCTCATCCGATTTTCACGAAGTTTGGCTTTTTCTTCATGGTTTTCCCCCTAGATTAATATGGCATTCAAATCTCGACACCGATTTTTTGGTCGAAATTCATGTCCAAGTCTTACCCCAAGATTCGTATATAGACATGGATCAAAAATTACCACCCCCATAACTCGGTCAAATCTCATCCGATTTCCACGAAGTTTGGCCTTTTCTTCATGGTTTTCCCTCTAGATTAATCTGGCATTCAAATCTCGACACCTATTTTTTGGTCGAAATTCATGTCCAAATCTTACCCCAAGATTCGTATATAGACATGGATCAAAAATTACCACCCCCATAACTCGGTCAAATCTCATCCGATTTTCACGAAGTTTGGCTTTTTCTTCATGGTTTTCCCCCTAGATTAATATGGCATTCAAATCTCGACACCGATTTTTTGGTCGAAATTCATGTCCAAGTCTTACCCCAAGATTCGTATATAGACATGGATCAAAAATTACCACCCCCATAACTCGGTCAAATCTCATCGGATTTCCACGAAGTTTGGTTTTTTCTTCATAGTTTGCCCTCTAGATAAATGTGGCATTCAAATCTCGACACCGATTTTTTAGTCGAAATTCATGTCCAAATCTTACCCCAAGATTCGTATATAGACATGGATCAAAAATTACCACCCCCATAACTCGGTCAAATCTCATCCGATTTCCACGAAGTTTGGCTTTTTCTTCATAGTTTTCCCTCTAGAATAATCTGGCATTCAAATCTCGACACCGATTTTTTGGTCGATATGCTTGTCCAAATCTTACCCCAAGATTCGTATATAGACATGGGTCAAAAATTACCACCCCCATAACTCGGTCAAATCTCATCCGATTTTCACGAAGTTTGGATTTTTCTTCATAGTTTTCCCTCTAGATTAATGTGGCATTCAAATCTCGACACCGATTTTTTAATCGAAATTCATGTCCAAATCTTACCCCAAGATTCGTATATAGACATGGGTCAAAAATTACCACCCCCATAACTCGGTCAAATCTCATCCGATTTTCACGAAGTTTGGATTTTTCTTCATAGTTTTCCCTCTAGATTAATGTGGCATTCAAATCTCGACACCGATTTTTTAATCGAAATTCATGTCCAAATCTTACCCCAAGATTCGTATATAGACATGGATCAAAAATTACCACCCCATAACTCGGTCAAATCTTATCCGATTTCCACGAAGTTTGGCTTTTTCTTCATGGTTTTCCCTCTAGATTAATATGGCATTCAAATCTCGACACCGATTTTTTGGTCGAAATTCATGTCCAAGTCTTACCCCAAGATTCGTATATAGACATGGATCAAAAATTACCACCCCCATAACTCGGTCAAATCTCATCCGATTTCCACGAAGTTTGGCTTTTTCTTCATGGTTTTCCCTCTAGATTAATCTGGCATTCAAATCTCGACACCTATTTTTTGGTCGAAATTCATGTCCAAATCTTACCCCAAGATTCGTATATAGACATGGGTCAAAAATTACCACCCCCATAACTCGGTCAAATCTCATCCGATTTTCACGAAGTTTGGCTTTTTCTTCATAGTTTTCCCTCTAGATTAATCTGGCATTCAAATCTCGACACCGATTTTTCGGTTGATATGCTTGTCCAAATCTTACCCCAAGATTCGTATATAGACATGGATCAAAAATTACCACCCCCATAACTCGGTCAAATCTCATCCGATTTCCACGAAGTTTGGCTTTTTCTTCATGGTTTTCCCTCTAGATTAATCTGGCATTCAAATCTGAACACCAATTTTTTGGTCGAAATTCATGTCAAAATCTTACCCCAAGATCCGTATATGGACATGGGTCAAAATTTACCACCCCCATATCTCGGCCGAATCTCATCCGATTTTCACGAAGTTTGGCTTTTTATACCCTGAACCCATTAAAAATGGGTATAAGGGTATATTGTATTTGTGCGAATGCCAAATCGATATCGATATCCTGTTTTTTGGGCAATTTTGGTAAATAATAAGAACTAGAGTCACCAAACTTGACATATAGCTTCTAAAATAGAATATATATATGCATTTGATGTTGGAAGAAGAGGGTTCAGTGTATCCCCTAGTCGGGAGCTCCCGACTAGAACCTCTTACTTGTTTATTAATTTATTTGGTGTTGGAATAAGAGGGTTCAGGGTATCCCCTAGTCGGGAGCTCCCGACTAGAACCTCTGACTTGTTATACTAATGAATAGTTGAAATTAAAGTTGTATAATTGCAATTTTTTTTAATATATTTCGTAAACTTAAAGCTTTTTAGAGCAAAAATATGTTTGTTTGGGTATTTAAATCAGAGCTTTGTGCAATAATAAAATAATATTCTATGTAAATTTTACTAAAAACGCATAACAGCCATTAAATAACCAAACCTACAACTTATAATCAAAATACTTTTATTTTCAATTATTATCAGCGATGTTTAATCAAATTGTTAAGAAAATGTGAATGAGATTAGCACCAACAGCAGGGGGCAAAAATAAGAACAAGAAAACAACGGGAGATTGGGAGAGCAAAAGAGAGAGAGAGAGAGCTTAGGCAGTCAGCCACAAGTCAGCTGGTAGCTTTTATTCAGCGCAAAGCTTTTGTCAGTCTCTCATCAGAATTCGAGCGCGTCAGTTGAGCGTGCGGTGGAGAGCAAGTGCAGCCGGTCAGCGAAAATTCATAATTAAGGCAAACGAAGAAAACAACAACAAAGGCAGGCAAAAAGAATGATTGCGCAAAGTATAATCAGCAAACTGCGTCCGTGCGGCATCCGGCGCCTGGCGAGCACCAAGGCGAGCAGTGCACCCAAATTCAATTGGCAGGATCCGCTCAATTTGGAGAGTCAGCTAACCGAGGAGGAGGTGGCCGTTCGCGATGCATTCCGCGGCTACTGCCAGTCGCAGCTGTTGCCGCGCGTCATTCTCGCAAATCGATTGGAGCAATTCGATAAGAAGATCATGGAGGAGATTGGCAGCCTGGGCGTACTGGGCTGCACACTGCAGGGCTATGGCTGTGCCGGCGTCTCCAATGTGGCATACGGTCTGCTCACGCGCGAGGTGGAACGCATTGATTCTGCCTATCGTTCCGCGGTGAGCGTGCAAAGCTCCCTGGCAATGGGCGCCATCTATGATTATGGTTCCGATGAGCAGAAGCAAAAGTATTTGCCAAGCATGGCGCAGGGCAAGCTGATAGGTAAGAGAACTTTTCCAAAAAATATGTACACATGTACAACATACATATTTACATGCTACATTCATCTCTATAAGCTGTCCATCGCGATCACCTGTTTTTTTTTTTATTTTAAAGATTTGCTGTTTATCAGCATTGATAAGATTCAGATTAAACAGAGGGAGGTGGGGGCCCATAACAACAAACTGAAGTAAACAAGTTGAACGAGTGTGTGGGGCAAAGAGAGGGGGTGAAGAAGAATTTAATGACAGCAGATGACAGCAAACAACTCTGTGTTAGCTTTGGAAAAAGCTCACTCTGTCTCTCTCTCTCTTACTTGTGTGGCTGTGTGAGCGGAAAAAAACCAAAAGAGAGAATCGCAAACAAAATTTTGATCAGCAACGGCGAAGATTAAATACCCTATGGTATCTATGTTCAGAAAGTGAACATTTTAAAGTTGAAAATTCGTTTTGTAAAAAATAAGTTAAATGAAAATAAATTATGTTTAGGAAATACAAGCTTGAGCTTAATTATAATTAATTAATTATAATTATAATTAAGCATAATTATTTATAAAACGAATTTCCATTTTAAAAATTTTTACTTTCTGACTAGGTAATCATTTACAAGAGTATAAGATGAATTGAAAAAGGTTTTCTTAGCAAATTTTTAAAGAAATATTTTTGTTAAACCAATTTCTCAAAATATGTTTAACTAACATTCCATTTCAAATCAATAAACCTTCAGGCGCCTTTGGACTTACCGAACCGAACCATGGTAGTGATCCGGCTGGCATGGAAACCCGAGCTAAATACGACAGTAAAACCAAAACCTACATACTGAATGGCTCGAAGACATGGATAACGAGTGCGCCCATTGCCGATGTGATAGTCGTGTGGGCCAAGGGCGAGGATGGTAAAGTGCGCGGCTTTATTGTCGATCGGAGATTGTCTGGTAAGGGCCTGGACACGCCCAGGATCGAAGGCAAGTTCTCGCTGCGTGCCTCGCCCACGGGCATGATAATGATGGATGATGTACACGTGCCCGAGGACCTGCTGCTGCCCAACGCCCTCGGCTTTAGCGCACCGTTCAATTGCCTGAACAACGCTCGTTATGGCATTGCCTGGGGAGCACTGGGTGCAGCGGAGGCTTGTGTGGAAACGGCGCGTCAATATACGCTGGATCGCAAGCAATTCGGACGACCACTGGCCGCCAATCAGTTGATCCAAAAGAAACTGGCTGATGCCACCACGGAAATAGCGCTTGGCCTGCAGGCGTGCCTGCATGTGGGTCGCCTCAAGGATCGCAAACTCCATACGCCCGAGATGATCTCGCTGCTAAAGCGCAACAACGCGGGCAAAGCCCTGGACATAGCGCGTCAGATGCGCGACATGCTCGGCGGCAACGGCATCAGTGATGAGTACCATGTGATCCGGCATGTCATGAATCTGGAATCGGTGAACACCTATGAGGGCACTCATGATATTCATGCCCTGATCCTTGGACGTGCCATTACCGGCTTGGCTGCGTTTGCCAATTAAAGCTAACTCGCGCATTTATCTATGTTTCTAGTTTATAAATTTAGCTAGGCAAACAAAATAAAAAGCAATATTAAATTCGTTTCTAGCCAAGAGATGTTAACACTTTCCTAGTATTAAATCGAATTTTATATTAAAGACAAAACGGTTGCAACCGAAACAAATCTTTACACGAAAACTCTAACCCAGGCAAGTTTCTGAAACCCTTTATTATTGAGGAATGTTTGTAAATTAAGGACTAAAAGATGCCTTTACTAATGCGAAGAAACTTTTTAAATTAAAAAAGATTGGTTTGATTCCTCCATAGAACATTGCGGGCTTAGCTTAAGAAAATCGATGTAAGAATTTTGTTAACTTAACTCACCTCCGTTTCATATTGCTCGGCACGTCGCACCGCATGCCCCAGTTCCGTGTTGGTCTCGGCCAGTAATTTCTTTAATTTGGCATGCGACATTTTGACCTCGCTGATTTCCTTGTTGCGCTCCGAAAGCTCCTGCTGCAGTGCTCGTAACTCAACGTCATTGGCCTGCATGGGTCGGCATTTGCGATCCGAGCGCTCCTGATAGTCACGCAGTTCGGCGCGCAGCTTTTTGTTATCGCGCTCCAGAGCCAGCTTTTCGGATTCCAAGCGCTCGCGTTTGCCCCACTCAGATGCGTTTTCAGCCTGCAAATGCTCGAGCTCTGTGCGCAGCTCGCTGAGTCTGGAAAAGCCAAATGATTAACCGAGCGTTTAAGAGCTTGGCCCAAAGTTAAGCCCTACCGACGTTCCAGATTCTCGCGTGCAGCAATTTCCTCTTGCAATGAATTGTTCACAATGCGCATCTCGGCGCGATGTTGTTCCTGAATAGAAATCAAATATTAATCGCTTACAAGTAGTATACCCGATGGGATTTCCAAAATCTAAAGAAACCCCCGTCTAGTGTTTGTTGACAATAACTTTCCAGCTCAGGGTTTAATGAGTTAAATATATATCGCTAGATTGGCTAGGTTCTTCAAATTAACCGACTTACCTGCAAGGTTAGAAGTTCACGCACCGCTTCTTGCTTTGCAGAGCGCAACTCATCCTGTCGTCCACGCACATCTTGCAGCTCCAGCGCCAGTTTCTCTATGCTCTTGTGCAGCTCGTGCTTTTCACTGCAATCACAAAATGTAATTTTAATTAATAAATTATTGGCTGCTAATATGAACTGCTTTTCTATACGTACTCTCGCTCCGCCTGCAGCGTTTTTTGCGCCTCATCCAAGCGCAGCTGCAGCATGGATATCTTTTGCAACAAATAATCTTCGTCGAAGTCGTCTTTGGACAGCTGCTGTATTAGGCGTTTTTCCTCTGCAGCAGCAGCTTCCAGGTCGCTCAGATGCTTGGGCATAGCGCCCTTCAGCGCAAATTCCTCAATATCCAGATCCTTGACATCGTTGGGCAGCTTGGTGACCAAACCGTCCTCACTGTTCACATTTTTTAAGCCATCTGATGATATATCTGGCGAACAATTGGCATCACGTCCATTCGCCTCGGCGTCCTCGTTTGTGTCGGTGCGATGGAATTGTCCGGCATGTTTCATCATCAGGGAATGTACCTTTTCCATTTCCTTCTTCAGCTGTGTAATCTGCACCTCCAGATCATTTTTCTCACGCTTTAGGGAATGTGCCTCCTTCATGGCTACGTCCAGTTTAAGATTCAACTGTTTGGATTCCTCTCGCGCCTTATTGCGTTCGTTGCGCACCTGCAAAATGATATTTTGTGTGATTAAACAATCAACCTTATTGATACAACGGGCGCCATGGCAACCTCACCTTACTCCATTTTTCGCGCCAGTTGGCAGTGCAATCGGACCTGCAGGAAGGTAACATAGCATATTAATGAGCAAGAAATAACAGTAGTCTCCGGCGTGCCAAAGATTTAATACACTTTCCGACGGATCTTTCCCATTGAAGTTACATGTTATACTCTTCTGGCTGACTTTGACCTGCACCAAGGAATAGACGCATCTTCGCGAAGATTCATAAACATAATTGCAAACTGAGACAGACAATACTTGATCTTGCTAATGCATCATTCTAGCTTTATAAATTTGCTGAGAAAATGATCATACCCTTTGCAAGAGTATAATTACCGGCACATCATCCACCTTTCTCTACTTACCACCACTTCATTGTCTTTTCCATTTGGGCAGCTCTAGCGCGCGCTTCGTGCAACTCCCGTTGGCGCTGCGACTGTTGATTGTACGGCATTTATATATTCATGCATACATATTTTAAATTTCTTATTTTCTTAGCTTACCTCGCGCGCCTCCCATTCGGTTTCGCCATAGCCAACGCCACCGACACCCACGCAAACGCCTGCATCGTTGTTGGGCACACGTCTGCTGCCCGCTTGGGCGGCAGCGGCACTTTGCGTCGTTGACGACGTCACTTGGGACATTTTATAGCACTTAATTCAATATGTTTTAATATGTATTTAACAGTTTTACTCGTTTTAATTAAACTGCATTTTGCTTTATGCACTTTTCTACAATGTTGTATACAGAAAATAAGGAAAACAGCTGTTTGTGCGGTGTTACCAAAAAAAAATTTGGTATTTTCCAATAGAATTGTTGCTAGGTGTATAACAGTATATTTTAAATGCTTAAACCTCTATGGCGCGATAATAATATATATAAACACTAATTTTACATCGTTGAATAAACTTACGCCGGTTTTCCAAGTCAGAATTTGCTATTTGTACAAACTATGAGTGCAGTAATGTAATGTCGTGTCGTTCGCTTAGATATTATTTTCTAACTGCTAGACGGTCACACTGCCATCAACACTAAAAGCAGCCATAGTCTTGATAAACGCAGATTTGTTATTTAGCTTGAATATACATTAAATAGTGCTACTTAAACATGGCAAAGCATCATCCCGATTTGATTTTCTGCCGCAAGCAACCCGGCGTGGGTAAGTCGCACAACATCCAGCTAGTTTGTGTGTAGCAATGTATGTTAATGTTTTGGTCTTTCACGTGCAGCCATTGGCCGGCTCTGTGAAAAGGATGATGGAAAATGTGTAATTTGCGACTCGTACGTGCGTCCCTGCACCTTGGTGCGCATCTGTGATGAGTGCAACTATGGCTCGTATCAGGGACGCTGTGTTATTTGCGGCGGTCCCGGCGTTTCCGATGCCTACTACTGCAAATCCTGCACCATACAGGAGAAGGATGTGAGTAGAAACAAAAAAAACACATTTGCCCTGCATTTAGAAATAAAAATTAAAATTGTTCACTCACAGCGCGACGGTTGCCCCAAGATTGTCAATCTGGGCAGTTCAAAGACAGACTTGTTCTATGAGCGTAAAAAATATGGTTTCAAACAAAAGTAAGTTGCAAATCCACCAAACCAATTGATCCACAATTTAATCAAATTTTCTCACCCTCAGCTATTAGCGTACTGAAGACTACCGTATATATATATATATGTCTAATAAATTTGTAATGTAGTTTAATGCATATACATATAAAGTTTTATACATGAATGTACTATTTTGGAAATGATTTTGCTTAGACTGCAAGCAGCTGCTCGCTGCTCGGCTCGTACTCCAAGCAGAGCCTGTCGAACTCGGCGGATTTCTTGTCCAGATCGACGACAAAATCGCTCTTCGGATAGAATTGTCTCAGCTGCTCCCAGTAGCGTGTAATCGTTTCCGTTGATTTTCCCGTCAAGTGTGAAAGTACCATCATATTGATTAGGGTATCGTAGTCATTGTGCTTTTTGGTAAGCGACTCGCGCAGCACAGCTTCGGCCTCCTCGTAACGTTCCAGGCCCAAGTGCACTACTGCCTGTCCGTTTAGTAGCGCCGGCGTGGGCTTAAACTTCTCACAGAACTCTTGATAGATATGGAATGCGTCCTGCATTTGCTCGGTACCCTGTGCCAGGGCAACCCAAGCCTGTGCCAGCTGTGTTAGTGTCGCATCATCGCTTATCTCCTGCATTTTGGCCACTAGCTGCTTGGCCAGATCCACACGCTGCAAGCGCAACAGACATTGAACCGACAATGCCATTGATTCGAGATTATTGGAGCCATGCAGTATCTTCAAGGCATTCTCAAACTGTCCGTCGTAGCAATAGACAATGGCTGTGGCGATGTGCCAAATGTTCGTCTCATCCTCATCGCTGGCCACCTTGTCGGTGAGCTTCTCCAGCAGCTCCTCGGTGCGTGAAGGCTGTTCGAAGGCTTCGTGCACTAGACGCAGCGCTAGCAGCGGTGTCGTGTTATTCTCCTTGATGTCCGAGGCTATAATGCGACCCGAATCGATGGCCAAATATGACAAATACATGTAGGACAGCAGCTCGGCACCTGCCGTGCCCTGCTCCGGCAGTACAAAGTTTATGGAGCCCATGAAATTGCCAATGTAATACTCATTGCGTGCATCGAACAGCGCCGAGTTGACGTCGTCATCGTTTTGTTGTGATCTGCTCATTATTAATAACAAATTTGTATTGGTTTACTGACAAAATAAACTATAAACTGGAAGCTGAGTTGGCTTTTCAGTTGCAGTGCTGCCACCTTGTTGAAAAATGCTGCCAGCTGTTTGCACGAAAATATGGTGGCAAGTTTCGAAGAGTTGTTTACATGAACTAGTTCATTTGAAGCACTCAACTCTTAAAACATTTGAAGATCAAAGTAATTGCAAAAAAATAACGCCCGTTAAACTGGTCTTAAAACCACAAACCAATATTTGCAATTGCTAAAAACAGGTTTGCTCGCCAATATGTAGATTAATACCAGATACTTTACGGCATTTCTTTCAGTTGAACGTCGACTTATCATCATGTACAATCCCAATGAGAAAAACATTGATTTAGTGCGTGATTATTTTCCCAGTTATCACACGGCAAGATTCCAAGATCAGCCAGAGCCCAATATCGCGGTACAAGATAATTTTTTGCAAGTGACAAAGCAGCGTAAGTCTAAGCTAAATACAAATTAGCATATGTTTTCATTATCATTAACAAAAAAGATTCCAACGAGCTCTCAACTAAATACGGGATCAAAGTTCATAATTTGCGATATGGAGGCTCGGATGACAGACAACTAGTCGATGTATTTTATAAAGATGAAGCATCGGAGCCCTCGCCGCTCTTTGTTTATGTTCATGGCGGCTACTGGCAAATGCTGGACAAATCCCATTCCTGCTCCATTGTTGCTCCTCTGGTGCGTCATGGCTATCGCGTCGCCGTCATGGACTACAACAACTGCCCGCAGGTGACGCTGGCGCAGCTGGTCGAGCAGTTCACAGCCTTTTTAATATGGATATTCGACTATGCCGAGCAAACGCAAACTACTGAGCTTAGTTTTGCGGGTCATTCCGCTGGCGGACACCTTCTGGCCCAGTTGCTGCATATTCCGGCACTGATTTCCGAGGAGCGACGCCAAAAGGTGCGCGTCCTGTTCTTCATTTGCGGTGTTTATGATCTGCGCGAACTGTGGCAACTGGAACCGGTGAATCCCAACAATATATTCGGACTAAACGCAGAAAGTGCCAAGCAACTATCGCCCATGCTGTGGCCATGGCAAGACGATAGCTCATCCTGGTCTGGCGTCCAGTCGCATGTGATATCAGCAGAGCACGAGAGCGTCACCTTCATAGAGCAAAGTCGCGCCTTTGCAAAGAAATTGCAAGATGGCGGCTTCAACGTAACATTTAAGCTTTTCGATAAGTACGATCACTTCGATATTATCGAAGAAACTGTCGTCGATAACTCGCCGATAACCAGCTACCTGCTGGAGGCGCTGCAGGCTGCTTCGAAAGAGTCAAATTAAACAAATAAAATGAGAAATAAAATGTCCGATGAACGTAAATTATTAATAAAAAAGTAAACCAAAATTGCTTTAAAATAAAATAAAATGTATAGTCCAACCTTAAATAGAGATTGACAATTATTTGAATTGAAAAACTGTGTGAATTATTTTGAATTTTCATTTATTTCTTATGTAATTAGTGTTTTTTTAAAACATACACTTAAAATTAATAGTAGTTGCATTTCATATTTACACTATCCAAGCTTCTTTTGCGCATAAAAATAGCTTAGGATATAGCACAGCATCCACAAAGTGCTGCATCATATGGAAAATAAATGGTACATAATAAGTATATGATACATGAAATACAGATGTTATTCAATTCACTGAATGCAAAACAACGTATAAAGTAAATGGAAGTATAACAAACTGTGCGCAATATGAGATAAATAAATAAATTCTAACTAAAAACATAAACTAACATTTTGCTGATGTGATGGAAAATGGTGACGGTAGAAAAAGCATCTATGATTCCTCATCCGAAATGATAATTTCTGTGTCTATTAAGATTTGTTGTTTCTTTTGCTGCTGCTGCTGCTGCTGCGGCTGCTCTCGGCTGCTAATGTTGCTCTTGTTGGTGTTGTTGTTGTTGTTGTTGCTGGCGTATAGCGTGGCATTTAGACTAGAAACGGACATGACCTTAAGTGTGTGGGGAGCAGACGGATCCTTTAGCTTGCCATTGGGCAGCGTCTTGGCAGCCGCATTGTCATTAACACGATCAACATTAATATCATTATTTGCAACCTTGGGGCTGGACTCAGCAGTCTTGACTCTCGTTATATTATTAACTATCACATGAGCAGCCGCCGCGGCAGATGTCTTTGGTGCTGCATTCGCTTCCGTTTCGGACTCTGCATCGCTTATTTCGCCATTTGCTTTGAAGTTGTCCACAAAGGCATCGACATCCTCATCCGTTTCATCATCCTCATCCTCCTCATCGCTGTCGCTCTCATGCTCGTGCTCGTGCTCGCTGTCCCGATGCTTTTGTAGGCCATTGGTCAAAACGATTTGCGCTGTTCGAGCCTGCGCCTGGGCTGCTTGTGCCGCCTGCGCGCTGGTGCAGGGCTTGTCATCATCATCGCCGGCAGCTATGGCCGTATCATTGGCCGTCGCCGTTGCCGCTGCTGCTTCTGTTGCTGCTGCGGCTGTTGCCTGTAGCTGTTTCTCCTTGAGTCGCGCCTCGCGCTGCTCCTCCGTGGTGAGATCCTGCTCGCGCGCAAATCTGCAAAAAGTATTCGGATTAGTTGTGTGCAACAGCAACTACTCAATATCTACTCACTTTTCCAGTATATCACTTATTTTAGTTTGCTTCTTGTTGTTCTCGTTCAGCTTGGCCAGCAGAGCTGCATCCGAGGCCGCCGGATCCTTGGCATTGGCCGTAAAATGTGTGACGGTCTCGTAAAGATCAGTCTTGCGCCTCGCTTGCAGCAGGCGACCTACCTTGACGAAGGCATCATGAGCTGCAAAGTGCAATTGATTATAGAGATTAGATTTGCATGTAAAGATAAAAACTCTTGATCCTACCTATGCGCTTCATTTCGAATGTAGCTAGGCCCAGATTCTTCTCCTTATTGCAGTGCTCGAGCAGCTGGAGCACATCATGGTAATCGGGAAATTCATGCATGCGATTGACAAACGCGGAGAGTGTGCGATTAAATTGCGGATATGGCGTATCCTTAAATAATATGGGCTGCTTCATCTGGCGATGGGCGCTTTTACTTTCACCGGTTAGATCACAGATTTTCTCATAGATCTGACAGGCGCGCTTCTTGTAGCGCTCCACCTGCAGATAACTGGAATCATCATCGTCATTCCAATCGACATCCGCCTCCTCCAAGGCGCTAATACGTTTCGTTATAGTGTACAATGTTCGATTCAGTTTCCGGATGCGCTCATCGCTGCGCTTATTGCCCGTGCTGGGCGTGCTTGTTGTCGCTGCCGCAGCTGGCTCCGCTGTCTTAATCTCAGCTGCAGTTGTAGCTCCAGCTGGCGCTGTCGCTGGAAGTCGCGCCGCCGCTGCCTTTTCTTCAGTCGGCGGCGGCGCCTCGTCCATCGGCAGCTCCACAACCTTGGCCTTGCGTCGCACCTTCAGCTCATCGACGACACACTTGAGATGCACATAAATCATGTCCGGCTCATTGCGCATACGGTCCATGGCCTGCTCCAATTGCTTGCGAAATCCGCGCGAACGCACAAAATTCTCATGCACACTGTAATAATATTTCAGCAATTTAATCTCAATCAGACGCTCCATGTCCTCCGACTTGTCCAGCTCGCGGCACAGCTGCAGCAGGGCTGTATACTCCGGCACGAGGGGCGCACGTGTCGCCGTTGCAGCTGCTGGCGAGACTTTTGCCGTGGACACAGCTGGTGGAACAACTGCAGCTGGCGGTGTCTTACGCTTGGTCTGCTCGTTTTCCACTTTTTCTGTGGGCGGCGTTGTTGGCGGCGATTCCACCAACACTATGGTGGGCGTGGCGGTCTGCCTATCTTTTTGCTTCAGCTCCTGCAGCTGCTGCTGGGCAAGATGCCTGCGCCACTCGTCATCCGACTTCTTGAGCACCGTTATAGGCTGCACGCGCTTGGCCGCGGGCTTCTGCACAGGCGATATGCTGGCACCGGGAAAAGATATTTTTGCTGTAGCTGCTGCTGCTGCGGCAGCTGGCGCTGCTGCCGGCGGCGGGGTCGTCGTTGGCGTCAGCTGTGGCGTTATGCTCGTGGTGGGCGGCAGATTGAGCAACAGCGGCTCATTCAGCGCCGCAGCACAGTGCGGAGGCGTGGCTAGCAAACGCAGGGGCGGCGTGGCGCCAGCCGTCATGGGCGTGGCCGATGTTATGCTGCTACTGCTGCTGCTGCTGGGCTGCACGCTGCGCAATCCTGTTGTTGTTGCCGTTGTTGTTGTTGTTTTCATTTTGTAGGGCAACGTGCGCGCCGCACTGTTGTTGTAAGCGGGGTTGGACAGCGCCACATTCTGCCTGCTCAGCATAGGCATTGGCGACAGCTTCGCCAGCTGCGGCGTCGTGCCTGCTGTTGAATGATGCGCCGGCGGTGGCGGTGCAAGCGTTGACGTCGACGTCGACGACTGCTGCTGTTGCTGCTTCTGTTTGTGCACCATCACGCTGCTGCTGCCACTGTGCGCCGGCGGTGGCAGCTTCTGTGCCGGCGATGCCAATTGCCCGGCCTTCGGCTGCAGCAGCGCGGGCGAAGTCAGCGTCTTGGTCAGCGGCATCTTTTGCAGTGTGGGCAAACGCTGTGCCGCTTGCGGCTTCTGTTTGACTGGCAGCTTTTTTGTCAACGACAGCTGTGGGCTGGCCAGAGCCTTCGGCTGCTGCTGCAAAGGTGGCTTTAAGGGCCTCTGTTGCTGCAACATTGGCTTCTGTGGTGTCAAGGGCGGCGTCGGCGCTTTCGTCTTTTGCAATGTGGACATCGATGTGGACGGCTGCTGCTGGTGTTGCATTTGCATGGGCGTCGACGTCGGCGTCTTTTGATGTTGCAGCTGCAGCACGGACGTTGGTGTCGTCGGCTTTTGCTGTTGTTGCAGCTGCAGCATTGACATCGCCAGTGCTGGCTTCTGCTGCTGCTGCTGTTGCTGCAGGGACGTTGGCGTTGACAGCTTCTGCTGCTGCAGTAGCGCAGTTTTTTGCTGCCCCAACGTCGCCGCCTTCTGCTTCATTGGCGCCTTGTGCTGTTGTGTGGCGGTTTTCTGTGCCGCTTTGGATGTCAGCATCTGGGGGATGGGTACACTGGTAATTGTTGCCATTGTGGTGCCAGTGCCAGTTATTGTCTTGGACCAGTTGCCGCCCGACAATTTAAATGGCTTGTAATTCACAGTATTGTTATTGTTATTATTATTGTTGCTGTTATTGTTATTGTTATTGTTGTTGTTGCTGTTGCTATTATTGTTGTTCTCCAGCGAGATTTTTGCATTGGACATGTTGAAATTGCCATTACTGTTGTTGTGCTTGGTAACCGTTATGCCGCTGGGTATATGCATGGACCTATAAGAAACAAATTCCTCTGTAAGTTATCGATAACTCAACCAATTGTAAACCGTTAAAAGACTATCGATTATTGCCAAGCGATCTATGGCTTTTTGGAAGACATTTCTGACTCCATAAAGTATTTAATTTTTTGAGCTGTATCTTGTCTCTTGGCTTTTTAGCTACTGGCGTAAGATTATATCTCGGATTATATAGCTGTAATAGGATAGATCAGTCTAAGCGAAGTTTTCTTTGTTGTTTTAAGGCTAACTGAGCTGATATTCAACTATACTCAACCTTATATAGCTACAGCTCAGCAATTAAAAACTTTACTATACCCCTTAGAAAAAAGTGGGTACCTGTAAGTTCCTACTATTGTTCCGGTTCCTGTCGCTGTTGTTGTTGCAGTTGGCGTTGATTTGATGCCCGTGGCAGGCGTTGCAAGAGATGCTTTTGGTATGTGCAACAGTTTTGTGGGCAGGGCTTTCGGCGTGGACATCCTTGCCTGGTCTCGACGCGCTCGCTTGACATCCGGTGGGCCCTGGAGACAAACGAAGATTATATTAAAAAACGACCTGTTGGCTATTGCATTTTAAATTCCATTTAAAAACAAAACAAACAAAAAACGCCGCTGCAGCTGTGTGAGTAGCAGTGTGTGTAGAGTTTTAAGGCGCGCCACTGAATGCAGTGTAGAGTTACGTTCATTTCGCCTAGGCATGTAAACAAATGTTAAATCGGTAATAGTTAGCGAATTGCGACGTAAATTGTACACTGATGTCACATAAATACACCCACACATGCATGACAACTGGTTTTATTTAGAATAATTAACATTTCCAATTACTCGCTCCAAATGCAGCAGTTGCTGCTGCACACGCAGTGGCAACACTGGCAGCATTGGCTGTGCAAGTGTGTGCGTGTCGAGTTGCTGGTGTGCGTCTGTATGTGTGAGCAACAATAAAAGCAGCGCGAAAAAGATATTCGTACACATAATTTGTAATATACACACACAAGCACATATGCACATATAATACACATATAGACACACGCACGCAACACCAATACGCGCATACCACTGCACAAAACCTATTAAAAATACAACTGTACTTTTCTACACCAGCTGAACGTTGGCGCTGTCACTGGCGCTTTTACCTCCTCCTCCGAATCCGAGCTCAAATCCACATATATAACCGAAGTCATAGTCTAATAGCACTTAACACTAAATTTTTATTTGATACGTCGCTTTTTACTAGTTTTTCTTGACATTTGGCTTAACACACGCAACTGTTATTGTTGCCAGCTAGTTTTTCACGCATATATTACGTCTGTGTCTTATAATTTGATTTCGCCTGTGTTTGTATTGTTGCTTTGCGTTTGTTTTCGCAGGCTAGGTTGCTTTGCTTTTTGTAGAGTTCTATTGCATACAATGTTGCCATATCTACTTCAATTATTGGCAACGCTTAAATTAGCAGTACTGCTCCAGTATTAACAGATAGCGATCAACTATCGTAAATCTATCGATTTTAAATAACATTAACAGCATGTTATTGGCATTATGCGCTGAGATTTGCGTTCTCGTTTAATGGAATTGGGTAAATAGGTGGAATATTTAAATATAAGAGGAATTCAGAGGCATAATAAAACCTTATTTTTAATAAAATTTAAAGCGTACCAGCGGGCAAATGAAAAGAACAAGACAAACGCAAATCTTACATATACTAGTTATAATAAAAAAAATTAAGTCAAAATAGTTATAATATGGTAAACAAAACATACAATTCGTATCGATATATCGATATGATATTAACATCCCTAATACAATGTTAAGAAACGTCAACAGACTAGGCAAATGACACGTCGTGCCCACTTCGTACAATTTCGTTTTCCTCTACGTCGTTCATTCGGTTTTCGTCAGTTGGAGCGGTCGTTGTGTCCGCTGAAGTGTTCCCCAATAGAAGTGAAACTTTCTAAATTTTGTGTAGAAAGTGCAGCAATTCAAATCATAAGTTTAGTTCCCTGCCGTACGTTACATTAAGTCAAACACAATGGGAAGTAAGTACAACGCCAACAAGTTCAAGTGCAATTCGTACGAAAGTGCCGGAACGCTTGGCAATAAGCGGCGGCCGCATCGGCAACACCCCCGTACTTGCTTACGTATACAAAAAAGATGAATTTGGGAATTGATGTGCCAGTGCCTCCGCCGCTAATTGTGTGAAGTGCAGGCTCAAAAACGCGTTCCAATCAGAGCTTACAACATTATTGGTTTTCATTCATTCATTTGCAGTCAAATTCCTGGAAGTTATCAAGCCCTTCTGCAGTATACTGCCTGAAATTGCAAAGCCCGAACGCAAGGTGTGTATAAGTATTGATTAAAAATGTATTTCTTAGAAATTGTTGAATTAACGTGGCAAAAGCTGTGATTTATAGTGTATATATGTTTTTTTTTGGTTTGATTTGTGCGTTTTCGTATCGTATTTGCTTTGCTGGGCGCCAGTGTTGCCAGCGCACGCGTTTTTTTTTTTTGCTTTCACTTGTCAGTCGAATGCGCCACGCAAACAATTTGTGATTTCGTAGTAGATACACGGAAGCACACAAGTTGTTGTTTTATGTGCATGCATATATGTAATGAAAATGAAATTAGTTTCAAGTTAATTAACTGAATTAATTGTATTTGAGAACTTACTGGAAATTAAATATTTTGAATTAACATTTAGTACCAAAAATTTATGAAATATATGCAAATGCGCAATTCTTACGTTTTCTTCATTTATTTAATGTATGTTTCTGATTTGATTTTCTATTTGAAATCAATTTTTCATTCATAAAACGCTTTAAACAAGATACTACTATTCTTATCAAATTCAAGTACTATTTTTTGACTACTTGTTGCCTTACTACTATTTAACACAACTTTGACAAACAATGCAATACCGCATACGACGTGGAACGTCAAACTTCGGCTCGCACGAAGCAGCCACACGACGCCATGCTACGTCAGCCTCGTGTTGTTGTGTTTAACGGTCGCGACCATATGATGGGCCACGATAAGCAGAACTGGATTTTTTTTTGTTTAAACATTTACACACGTACACACATGTAGGTCAGAATAGCGGTAGTTGCCAACTATGTGGGCCGTGACTTATTTTTAATACTGCATTTAAGCAAATTCGGGGCAATATTATTTTTTTGTTATAAATATAAATAAAGATTTACAATCAATTTATTTTTCGTATTTTATTGCAGATCCAATTCAGAGAAAAAGTACTATGGACAGCCATCACATTGTTCATTTTCCTGGTATGTTGTCAAATTCCATTGTTTGGCATCATGAGCTCCGATTCGGCGGATCCCTTCTACTGGATCCGTGTGATTCTCGCCTCGAATCGTGGCACACTTATGGAGCTGGGCATCTCGCCCATTGTGACATCGGGTTTGATAATGCAGCTATTGGCGGGTGCCAAGATCATTGAGGTCGGTGATACGCCCAAGGATCGTGCTCTCTTCAATGGTGCACAGAAACTATTCGGCATGGTCATAACGATTGGACAAGCGATTGTCTATGTGATGACCGGCATGTACGGTGATCCATCGGAAATCGGTGCCGGCGTCTGCCTGCTGATCATCATTCAGCTGTTTGCCGCCGGTCTCATTGTGCTCCTGCTCGACGAGCTGCTCCAGAAGGGCTATGGCCTGGGCTCTGGCATTTCGCTGTTCATTGCGACCAACATATGCGAGACGATCGTGTGGAAGGCCTTCTCGCCCACCACGGTGACAACGGGACGTGGCACCGAATTCGAGGGCGCCGTAATTGCTCTGTTCCATTTGATGGCCACGCGCAACGATAAAGTGCGTGCACTGCGCGAGGCATTCTATCGCCAGAATCTGCCCAATCTGATGAACCTGTTGGCCACCATCTTGGTGTTTGCTGTCGTCATCTATTTCCAAGGTTTCCGCGTCGATTTGCCCATCAAGAGCGCCCGTTATCGCGGCCAGTACAGCAGCTATCCAATCAAGCTGTTCTACACTTCCAACATTCCCATCATTCTGCAGTCTGCCCTTGTCTCCAACTTGTACGTCATCTCGCAGATGTTGGCCGTTAAATTCCAGGGTAATTTCTTCATCAATTTGCTTGGCGTTTGGGCCGATGTTGGCGGTGGCGGTCCAGCCCGTTCGTATCCCATTGGTGGCCTGTGCTATTATCTGTCGCCGCCTGAGAGTGTGGGTCACATTCTGACCGATCCCATACATGCGCTGCTCTACATTGTCTTCATGTTGGGCTCCTGTGCTTTCTTCTCCAAGACATGGATCGATGTCTCTGGCAGCTCAGCCAAGGATGTAAGTTTAGCCACAATCTTTTAAACAATTCATTTTACTTATCCATTTTTTGTTTATCCGACTAGGTTGCCAAGCAGCTGAAGGAGCAGCACATGGTGATGCGAGGCCATCGCGAGAACTCGATGATTCATGAGCTGAATCGTTATATTCCAACGGCCGCTGCTTTTGGTGGCCTCTGCATTGGCGCTCTATCTGTTATGGCAGATTTCCTGGGCGCCATTGGCTCTGGCACGGGTATCCTGCTGGCTGTGACGATTATCTATCAATACTTTGAGATTTTCGTTAAGGAACAATCCGAAATGGGTGGCATGGGCACGCTGCTGTTCTAAGCAGTTCAAATCCAAACTTTCAACATGAAATTATAACAATAACAGCTAACAAATACTTCATCATACTTCTCACATGTCAGCTCGCTTTGCCCCTGCTCCGCCCCGCCCCCGCCTCGCGCCTACCTATTAAGCAAATTAACGTTTTTGTATGGTTTTTAAATTCCACGATAGGGCCTAATTTTAAGGCTATTTGCTGCCGTGTTTAGCTGGCCTTGGCAAGAATTATTGTTTGTGTTAAATGCGACAAGAACTTTAGTTTGAATAGTTTTATTAGTTTGTATCATTAAAAAAATGTGAGACTTTATTGCTTAAGTTCAATATTTCGCTGAATTGATTGAATTTCAATGCAATCCATTGTTTTAAAGAAGTGTAATATAATTATAGAACATCGATTACACGTGGAATTATTAAACACGATGAATTATGAGTACATGAAACGAACATTAAAATCACGCAACATGCATACAAATTGTCATAATAATAAAACGTAAATTAGATAAACTTTTTTAATTCAACAAGTGCCGTTTTTATTAACATAAACATAAAATATAAAAAAGGAAACATTTGGAAACGCTTAACTTGTCGATAGAGTGGAGACAACGTGGTTAAATGTTGCCGCGTAATCAAATTTCAAAACTATCGGCATCGATATTACTACATTTATCGATGTCTTTTTAACATAGCGAAACTTTATTATATTTTGAGAAAAATGTTATGCACTTACAATTGCATAAGGCTTTTTTATAATATTTTAATGAAATTAAAATGCAGTTTAGATGCTGTTTTATAAAGATCAACTATTTATTTTTGCATCTACTTAACAATGTTAAAGAACAGCAATCGATAACATCGACCTGATTGTCAATCATCGCTGGTAACAACAGAAGGTATCTCGGCATTAATAGAGTCTGGTCTCACTTCGTATCGCATAAAATGGAAAAATAATCATAAATAAAAATAAGCAATTCGAGACAGTTTAAACAACATAAACGCGACGCACACGCATACACACACACACTAATGCGCATTTACGTACAAGGAAGCATAACGTTTACGTTGAACTGCGGCAAGCGAGCTGTGCGAAACCCAAACGAAACACAACAAAAACAACATCATCTGGAGGCAATATAAATAGGAGCTGAGTTGCCATGTCAGCTCCACTCATACGAAATGTACCGTATTTAAAGCAGCAGCTAACCGCATTGCTGCGCAACACATCTCCGGTGATAACGCTCATCTGTCTGGTGACCACCTTCGGCTATTTGCTATCCTTTTCGGAAACGGCCATCCTGCTGTTGAGCGTGACGCCTGGCTATATTTTGCCAAATGGCAAATTTTGGATATGGACCGCATTCACGTTCTGCTTCATCGAGCTGCACTGGTGGGAGGTCATCGTCGACGTGGTCACCGTCGGGCTGTGCGGCAAAATGCTGGAACCGCTTTGGGGACAATTCGAAATGTTCAAGTTCTTTGCGCTCAGCAACTTTGGCGTCTCGCTGCTAACGACCATCTATTATCTGTTCTATTATATGGTTACCAAGAATCCAACCATATTGTTTGACGTGCACATCCATGGCCTGGCCGGCTATGTCGCTGGAATTTGCGTGGCCGTACGACAGATTATGCCCGATCACCTAATCTTCAAGACGCGCTACGGACGTCTAACCAATCGGTGCGTATGTCTTACCCAAATGAATGTCGCCTAAAGACCTTACTGTAGTTCGAGGCGGTAACCTTAACCCGTCCCTATATAAAAGTGGCGCGGTTTAAAGCCTTATAAAACTGTTAGCCTAAATCAATGACAACCCAAAAAGCCTAAACCTCGATACTCTTATAAAAAAGAACTCCCTAACTGTTGAATCACAAGCTCCTTACCATATAAGTCGCTTATCTTGCAGCAATGTCCCTCTGACGGTGCTAGTTTCTGCTATTATTGGCTGGGCTATTGGCATGCTGGACGGCACGTATCCGGCCATGTTTGCCTCCGGTGCTATAGTCTCCTGGATCTATTTGCGTTTCTATCAGCATCATCCGAACGGACGTGGTGATAGCTCGGAGAGCTTCACCTTCGTCAGCTTCTTCCCGAATGTAATGCAGCCGTTCATCAGCGTTCTGGTAAATCCCATTTACAATTGTTGTTTGCGTGCGGGCGTGGTTAAGACGCCGACGCCGCTGCGAACGATATCGACGGCTAGCCTGACTTCGGTCTCTGTGCAGATGCCCGGCGTGGATCCGCATGATATTGAGCGCAGGCGGTAAGCTATTTATCCCATCTATTAACGAATTATAAAACGTATGCTTTTGTTTAACAATCAGACAAATTGCGCTAAAGGCTCTTAGCGAACGACTAAAGGCCACCGACTCAACGCGACATGCACAGCTGCCGAAGTCGTTTCCTCAGCAGCAGCAGCAACATCACCAGCAGCAGCAGCACAAGCATCACAGCCACAATCATGGTGCCGGGCACAGTCATAGCCATGCGGCTGGGCATGGTCACAGTCACAGTCACAGTCCCAGCGCTGGGCACAGTCATAGCCATGCGGCTGGAGCGGCGCAGGCACCGCAGCCCGATTTCGTAAAGCCTGCGGCACAGCAATTGCCGATTACAACGGCGCGTGCCGAGCCGCGAATGATCAGCACGATGAGCCCCATTGCAATACCTATGCCGGCGCCGCCGCCCAAGGATGAGCAGCCGCCGGCAGCGGCTACGCTTATCGATTTGGATGATGGGTCAAACTAGACAGTTTATATTTTAACATAAATGAATTTTTTGGATATTGAAATGATCTGCTTATGATTATTTTTGTATGACTGTAACAAGTGCGCTCCTTAATTGTATTTAACGTTATTTTGCTTTAATTAACATACGTGTAGATTTCTAATTGCCAGCTTGGCTTAGCCTTTCCCCACTGAGGCAACGCCCCTGAAAGCGCAAGAGGAAACCTTCCATCGACGTAGCGCCTATTGTAGTACCTACATTCATGCATATATATTATACAAGCAAAATTTCTGTTGTAGTGTTTACATGTATTGAGAAAAACCAATGCTTTATTTAGTTTATAACATTACTGTAAATATATTTAAAACCCAAAAACCAAATGATTTGAACTTGTCATACATATGCCTGGTATGCTGCTCACAGATAATATGCGCTCAATTTGAAATAACACCGTATGCGTATGTTTGGCAACACGCTGATAAATACCAAAAATTCGTTTAGTATTTTTGTGTGGGTTACAATTAACATAGGTTTCATTTGAATCATGTGTGACCATACTTTTAAAAATCAAGTGGGCTGAATGGGAAGAGTGAACGTACTCAATACCATCTAAATTATAATTTATATTAAGCTTGTACCATATTGCTGACAGTGTAGCAATATCATGATTGTGTTCAATATTTCGTATGAACATTTATTAGTGACATGCAATTTGAAAAATACCTGCGATAAGTCACGGCGATAGTTATCGCTCATCCCAAGTATCGATTCGGCAAGTGGATTCGCTTGGGGCGATTGACCGTCGTGTTCGCGTTATATTTTTTAAGTTTTTTATGTGCGCACGCCATTTGTTTTTCATAACTCAGCAGATTGACAAGTTGACGAACGTTTGTCACGCAACAATTAATAACCAAAATGTTGCTCTAAAAGAAAAACGGCCAAGAGCAAGTGGCTGGGTAAATACTGCGTGTGCATAACGCGTGCCTTTTTTTAAGTAACGCGCAGCAGAAATGGGTCTTAATAGCAACTACAGTGCACAAAAACAACAGCACACTAATTTCCTCCCGCACCGGAATGGTAAGTTTCATGTTCTGATAAGAGCCGAGCAAGTCAAGAAACAAAGCGAAGCAAAAAAGGAAATCAAAGCGAATTATCGGTCAAAATGTAGCAGAAAAATATTGCAGCGGGCTCGCCCCGCCGAAACACTCAGTAAACAAAAATCCATCTAATCGACACACACACACACTTACTCAAATTCATGTGTGCTGTGCGTGTGTGTGTGTGCTGTGCCGTTTTTGGCGCTTGCGGCAACGTCACTGTGTGCGTGTGTGTGTGAGTCAGTGTGTTTTGCGGTTTATTGCCAACGTGTAGTGCAGTCACCATTGGCAGCGGCGTCGTGGCAAAAAAAAAACCGACAACAATAATGTGCAAATATGCAAATCCAAGCAAACTGGCCAACAATTGTAGTCGGGTTTTTGACAACTTTTGGGCGCATTTATGTAAATGCCAAAGTCTGCTTCAACCCGTGAACTCCTAGTTCACAAGCTAGTTTCGCATTGAATGAAACCGGTTTACTTACACAATAGGAACTCCAATTGGAACACCAACTGGAATGCCAACTGGAACTGGGCTAGAGCTACACACATACATACGTATGTAGCTCGCCCTTAAGTATTTCTGGTTCTTTGTTGTGTTCGAGCTTTTACAGCGTTTACTTTCACTTCAGCCAATGTCCAGGGTCGCTTGGCTTTGCATTTGCAACTTGTGTGTAAAATATTCTGCACTCCGACTAACCATGATCGAGCTGCTATAATATTAGGTTGAAAATAATCTCATCAGAATAGAATGTTCAGCTTTGAAAGCTTTAATATAATAGCTTACCAGCTATATATATATATATATATAACATTCTGTTCTCAATGAATAACTGACTGAGCCCAAACCGTAAAAATAATAACCCAAATATATAAACAGTTGCAACCTATTTAAATTAGGTTCTGAAAAGTTTCCTCTCAAGAATGAAAACAGTTGTAGGAACCCATTTTTGTTTTTTTTTTGCTCCTATTGATTTTCAGCTTGTTTTTAAAGCTCCACATTTTATATATGTTTTAAAAAATATGGCATTGAATATTGCTTATATATAGCTTATTTCGGGAATGTATCAAATGATGTTGATTTTATAACATATTTATTTAATTTGACACAGATGTTAGGCTATAAATATTAAGCACAAGCGGTCAGATTAGATAACAATATCACATTGCATAGCCCATATTGAAAGTATCTATTTACATTAAATCGATTAGTATACTATAATTTTGAATCGACTTCCGTATCAAATAGTTGCAACTTAGATATGTTGTGCTTTACAATAATATACTAGGAGTTAACCTGTGCTGTGTTGCTCTAGCACACATTCTTATTTATACAATATATAAATAAATAAGTTTGCACTTGCCCCAATCTTGTCGAAAAGAACAAAAGAAACTCGAGAGCGGATTGGAGTCAACGAAAGTGAAAGAAATAGGTATACAATTAGTGAGATAAAAAAGAGAGATAGAGCATAAGGTCTCACAATGAGAGTAAGAGATAATGCTTATTGGATTGTCAACGCAACTTGTTGTTATAACACTTCCCAGCAAAGCATGAACTTTGCCTACTTGAATTCATGAGATCTGCATAGAAGGGTCGTAATTGTTTTAAAAGCAAAACAACCCTACACATTAATTTCCCATCCAAAGATCTAAAAAGGGATTTTTAGAAAACTGTTGCTTTTTTTTGTGTGTATGTAACTATGCAAAGTACATATTGCACCATGGAAAACTTAGTTATAACTTCCATGTAGTATTTCCAAAAAGTATTTCGTATTTTTTTTCATTTTCTTATTTTAACAACTTAATGCAGATATTATGTGCTTACAATATGCTCAAATGTGACTGCAAACACGTCAAAACACACACAAGCGCGCACACACACACACACACACACACACACACACTTAGACGCACACATTCATCTGCTTGTTTACACACATGCGCGCCTGCCATTCAAGCGGCAGCAGCAAAAGCGTCGACGTCAACGTCGCAGTCAGCGTCGACGCCGCAACGGACAGCTCCATATTTGAAGCAAGAAAACCCAACGAGTGCGATGAATTGGCGCTCAGTTGGGCATTGGTAGCCACATATAACGGTTCGTGTCTTTGTTAGCTGCGTTTCCGTTTTGCGCTATTATCAAAAACGAAATGTGTACAATTTATCGCGCTGAACAAACACAAATAATAAAGCAAAAGAGAGACAACGATAAAAAGAACTACAAAAAACAATAAATAATAAACATTCGCCAGCTAATTGCCACTACACTAAACACTAACTTCCCCCCCTCTCTCTCCCTCTCTCACCACTCTCTCTCTCTTCTCTCTTTCACCTCTCTCTCTCGCCTGTTGCAACAGAAATCAAAGCGACAATGACAGATCAACTAAACGAGCTGCACACGCGTCTAGCCCAGGTGAGGCAGGAGCATTTGCTCAAGTTTTGGTCCGAGCTCTCGGCGGACGAGCGCACCAAACTGGCGCGCGACATAGACGAGCTCTGCCTGGACGAGATCAAGCTGTATTGGGATCGTGCCACCATCTCGATGAATGCGAACGGCATCAAATTGGACGGTCGCCTGCAGCCCATACCCGACGGCCAAATCCTGTCGACGGCTCGCACCACGCCGGATAAGCTGAGCGCCTATCGGGAGGAGGGATTGCAGCAAATAAGCCATGGCCATGTCGCTGTGCTGCTCATGGCGGGCGGACAAGGTGAGTTCATGCATTCAATTTCTGCTAAGATAATGTATATAAGATATGAGGTTAAAAAAAAAAAACACGTTAAAGGCAAACAGCCCTTTTTTCCCCTTCTGAAACTATCGAATCTTTTGTTATCAATATTTATGTAATGATGTGATAGAAAAAAATAATAATAGGTATATTTAAGATTATAAAAAAAATGTAACTACGGTTAAAAAAAGGGGGGAAAACAATTTTTTTTCGTATATTTCATTTTACATTTAAAACGTTCTATTTATAATCAAATCTATTGAAGATAGAAGACATATTGAATACCCGATTAAACTGCATTTAACTCCTTATATTATATTTTGTTTGGAAGAAAAACATGTTTTATTTATAGACAGAATCTTTATCAGCAGCTCTGTATAGTCTGGTATACAAATATACAACATTAAATTCTAAGATAGTATTTATTTTCTCATTACATTTGCGCTTGCTTGATAAGTATCTGTAGATACGAGATACTATTGCTGGGCCGGAAGCTGCAGAAAAATTAAATATTATTTCAGTTTTTTTTTTTTCCCCCACTCATAGCTAATAAACTATTTTAAACAATTTCTGATCGCAATTGCCTTGAGCAATGAACAAAAATTCAGTATTGGCAAAGACGAAAACAACAACAATGCAGACCTGCAACGTCTGTGTAAGTGTGTAAGTGTGTGTGTGTGTGTGTGTGTGTGAGTGTGGGTAAACGGCTAATTAGATTGATATAAAAATGCTCCATCAAACCAACGCCACATACTCGCGCAAATACACACACACACACAGACATTGCAGGTCTGCATTGTTGTTGTTTTCGTCACACACACGCACACAAATGCATGTGCCTCAACCAGCTGCCCACTCATGAAATTTCTTGTTTGTAATTTAAAATTCCGCTTGCCAGACACGTCACGCCAATCGGGCGAACCATCATAAAGTAATAACAGTTTAATCCATTCTTATGGCCAGCCAATCCAGTCGCCAGTGTTGGTCAGTCTCAAGTTGTTGCTGTTGTTGTAGCCTTTCTTTTTTTTTCTGCTTTTGCTGATGTTGATTTGATATTTCCCGTTGTATTCAACGTGGCCGAAGCAAGCGAATTCACGTAATGGACAACAACAACAACAACAGAGCAAAAGACGAAAGTCAATGTACGCCTGGCTCAGCATTTTATTAGTTAGTTACGTAGTTACGTAGTTCAGGCACGTAACGTAATCTCGCATAACGGTTAAAAGTTGTAGGCGTTAAGGCTG